TCAATGGAAGCCTCTGCTTGGTCGGTTGAGAGCCAGGCTGCTCTCCCATGACGGGATGGTGGTCTGTCCGGTTGAGTCTTCCCCCACTGCCTCTGAGGAATCCGTGACAGTGGGCCACTCACGTGGAACTTTGCCAGTCCCAGAGACAGAAAACATGTTAGTTCATCATGTGACGTGATCATAGCCGAAGTCTGAGTGAAAAGTTTTCCATCTCTGGTTCTCCTCTTGGGACCTTCGGCTAATTGCTGGAAACTGTCTCCATGGTCCAACACACGAGGGGAAGTTCCTGTAGAAGTGCCAGCGCTCCGGATGGAGCATTCAATTCCCTTTCATGGCATCACCATCTTTTAATGGGAAAAACAATGGATTTCATCAAGTTTGTTTAATTGGGTATGATGTAACACCGTTATTATCCTCAGGAACGCATCAAGGGATTCATTACATCCGGCTGGAGGAGACGGTAGATATTTCCTGGGGAGAATGGTTTCAGACCTCAAATGTATCTGGAGGGCATCAGGTGAAAGAACATTGCTCTTTTCCTTCATTCTTCATCCCCACCCAAACAAGTGCTGGAAAGCAATTATAGGACAGGGGTTAGGACTCTGCCGGTCTACATGTCCATCAGTAGGATGATGTGATGGAGTGTATCTATGAGGAGGAGAGTGATGTGGGAGATCAAGGCCATCATGAAGGAGAGGGTGCATTCCAGGACAGGGGAGGAGGAAAGGGGCAACACAGTCCTCAGAGGGAGCGTGAGAAGAGTAAGGGGTTCAGGGTAGCCCCTCCCTAGAACCTCCCAGGGTAGAACTGCTAGTTGCTGTAGTAGAGATTGAGTCTGGCGAGATTCCGTCTACACGGTGTAAGCAAATAGGGGAACTGGACTCGACTGGACTGTTTCATCGTTGTCCTTGGGCTGGGCCTGAGAGAGAACTCTCTGATAACTGAGCAGAAAGGGACCAAATTTGGGGTGGCCTCACCAAAAAAACAAAGGTTTGAAAATGGGCCAGATCCAACTAGGAGCTGCAGAGGAGATTGATCTAGAAAAACATCTCCCAGCGCAGCATTCCTATGGATGTGGTTGCCACGGATGGCAAGACTTACCAATGTGCTTACATCTCCTCCAAGACAGGCTTCAATCGATTTAATGCAATTCTGGAGTGGCCATGGGTTTGGGGTCCTTTCGGTCCTGAAACTGGGGAGTTTCCATTCTTGACTCTGAGCATTGTGGCCCTGCCCCACACAGACTGCACAGAGTTTGGGGGTCCACCTGGACTCACAGCTCCTGCTTGAGGAGCAGGTGGCGGCAATGGCCGGGGCAGGGTGGCTTGGCACAACCACATCTTTTGCATTAATTGTGCCTTTCCTTGACCAGGAGGCCCTGCTCACGGTCACTCACGCTGCCCTTGAGACCATCTGGAAGCAACATGTGGTCCAGAATGCAGTGGTGAGGAGAGTTATGGGTGCTTCTCACTATGCTCACGTGATGCCAGTACTCTGGATCCACACTGGCTCCCATTAGGCTTCTGGGCACAATTCAAGGTGATGGTTATCACCTTTAAAGCCCTGCATGGCAAAGGACCAGGTTGCCTGAGGGTTACTTGAGAGATCACCTGCTCCTAAGATGTCTACCCAGCCTGCATTCTCTGATAAGGAAGGTGCACCCCAGTTCCCTCTGTTAAAGCAATGCCATCCTGTGGGAACCAGTAGGTGTTTCTGCTGGCCGTATAAATATCTATTTATGATATGAATTGTCTTTCTATATCATTACTGATTATTTGCCAAAATGAAAATAAATTGTTTATACCATAAAGAATTACAAGGTGATCCATCCCATGTGAATCCCTGTTTTTTTGCCCCAGACTGTTATCCTGGCAAACTCTTGTGCATCCCTGCAATGCAGCTCTGCTCTTGCACCCAGGTCCAAATTCTGCCCCAAGGACCCCAGCTATCCAGCTGGACAGTCAACAAGGCCATCAAGAGAGAAGGAATCATGGCCTTTCCTTGGGCTTTTGAGAAGCCCCGGCAGTTCCGGGCTCCTAAGCTGGACAACCAGACCTGACTGAAGACCGCAGCCTCAGCAGCCTTCCCCGACCTAGTTACTTTCACGTGCGTCCGGCGGTGATCCCAAGCCAGACCACGGCCACGTCCTTCACCTCATCTATCTCAACGCCTAAGCATGACGACCAACATCTGAATGGCTTTATGAACAAAATATGGCTTTTGTGACAGAAACCTGACCTCTTGACCTGTTTTACCCCTGAGCAAACCTGAGCGCACCTCAGGCTATCAGCCATCAGAGAGATGGCTTGGCAGAGAAATGCAATGGGCCATTAGGCACCGTGGCCAAGAAATACATGAATGAAAAGTCTAATCCCGGGGGCTTACTGCTGTTTGTGGGAATCCCGGGGCATTTATTTGGCATCATGGGGCATCTAGAAGGGTGCTTCATTTCTTCTTATGATCCAAGACTCATATTTTCCCACTGTTCCATTTGTATATTGTAACCAAAATGTTCAGCCTACTTTATCATACACTCTTTCATTTGTTCTTCTGTTTCAAATTTGAATAAAAGTTTATACATTTTAGCAATTACAAGTTCATCATTTGTACACAGCTCTGATTCAAACTCAGTCTTACAATGTTCAAAACGATAAATTCTTTTGTCTACTTTAAATCTCATAATGTAAATAAGAGAACCATTGATAACTATATCCCTCTGCCACCAGCTCTTCTCTCAATTTTATTTTACATTCTAGTATCTGACAGTAAGGTAGCCATTGGTGTTTGGCTATGATTTCTGTCTATAAAATGCTTCTTGTGATGAGATCCACAAAAGTGTTTTTGGGCACAAGCTGGACTTCTATCTATTCTATATTCTCAGTATGGCACATCTGAGATAATTATTTCTAAAATCTGCATTACCTTTAGGTATGATATGTGCCATCCTTGGGGCATCTAACATTGCCCGTGTGGCTGCATTTTGAACCAGCTGAAGCTTCTGGATACTCTTCAAGGGTAGCCCCATGTAGAGTGCATTGCAACAGTCTATGTGGGAGATGACCAGGGCATGAGTGACTGACTGGAGGGACTCCCGATCCAGAAATGGGCGTGACTGGTGTACAACCCATAGCTGAACAAAGGCCCTCCTGGCCACGACTGCCACCTGCTCCTCAAGCAGGAATCGTGAGTCCAGGAGGACCCCCAGGTTACTCACCAGGTCTGTCTGGGGTAGTGTGACCCCATCCAGAACCAAAGATGGTAAACTTCCGAATACAGAGGAGCCCCCAACCCACAGCCCCTCCGTCTTACCAGGGTTCACCTGAAGTCTGTTGTTCCCCATCCAGACCCCCACAGCCTCCAGGCACCGTGAAAGGGCGGTCACAACATCACTCAGATCACCTGGAATGGAGATGTATAACTGGGTATCATCCGCATATCAATCATACCTCCTCCCATGGGGGTGGATGATCTCTCCCAGCGGTTTCACGTAGATGTTAAAAAGGAGTGGGGAGACTATCGAACCCTGCGGCACTCCACAGAGGAGAGGCCGGGGCTGGACGTCTCCCTTCCTATCAAGACCCATTGGGACCAGCCCTGGAGGAAGGAGCTGAACCAGCAGAAGACTGTGCCACCCACCCCCAACTCCCCAAGCCGACCCAAAATGATGCCATGGTTGATGGTATTGAAAGCCGCTGAGAGGTCAAGAAGAGCAAGGATGGATGTGCTACCCCCATCCTGGTCCCACCAGAGATCATCCAAGAGTGTGACCAATTGTTGTAGTTTCTCCCATCTTAATATATCTTTTTTAACTTCATTCCATGTCTTAACATAGCTATTTTGAAATAACATACAATTCATATTTTTCATAATGATACCCAAATATTTTACCTTCTTCTCAATCTTAAAACCCCTTTTATTCATCAATTCTGTTTGATCTTCTAGTTTTAAATGTTTTGTTAACATCTTCATCTTCTGTTTATTAATCTTGAAACTTGCTAATGCACCAAACTCTTTTAATTTGCCCATTAATGTTTCAGTTCCCTTGAAGGATCTTCTAGGACCAATACTAAGTCATCTTCAAAAGCCCTTAACTTACCAGTTTCTTTACTCCCACAATACTCTCGTCTGACTGAGCCCAAACTCCCCCCGGTTCTGGGCTGATGCTACCTCCCCTTGCCAAGACTGTGAGACCCTTCAGATGAACTCCACTCTTTCTGAAGGAAGAGCTCTTCGTGCTACATTGTGAAGCCAACAAGCCAAACCAGGGAAGGTGGATCCTCCACACCTCGTCATTCCATCTTAGGCAGAGCAACAAAGTCCTGTGTAAATAAATAAATAAATAAATAGGGCTTCCCTGTGTCCAAGTCAGCTACGGGCTATCAGAGAATGGAAACCAACTGAAGGAACACAAGGACATGAAAATTCAGAAAAACCAGTGTATCATTTGTCTAGGATTCACTTCTACCGCTCAGCCTTCTGTTCCAGTAGTTCTACCCATTCTCCTCATCTGCCTCAACTCATTGCCCCA